CAGAATAGTTTATGTATCCAGTCTTCTCAACATTTACAAGAGCAACAAAACAATTCTTTGATTAAACAGTTAGGCAAAATGTTCCTTTATTTAGTTAATACAAATTTTGCAGATGTAAGCGTCGAAAACTTAAGAATTTTTATAGAATGTATGTAACTTTAATATAATACTGACAATAAAACATGAAGGTATTATAAAAAAAAAATAGTGGCACGAAGCTAAATCCGGCCAGAAGATCGTAGGGCCCTCGTGTTGCTTCAACAGAGGGAGTAGACGCTTCTGTAGACACTCCTTGAGGTAGATCTCCCCGTTTACAGTCCTTGTAGTCACGAACGGCGCACTCCGTTTGCCACATGAGCAGATCGCTTGACAAATCATGTAGGGGAAATGGCTCTAATGTTGGCCTATGGATCTAAGATTGGGTTCATCGCTGAAAATCTGCCATTTATAAATTTTATCTAGTTGAACGCTATTGAAAATTTAGTCGATTGCTGAATTTATGTATGGGACATTGTATGGGACATTTAGGCCGACATTACATCCCTATATCTTGGCAAACTTTGAAAGATTATCAAACTTGTGCTGGGAGGTGAAGAACAGTAACCCCGGAAGCTGCCGGAAGTCCGCCTTGACGTAAGTCTCATCATCCATGGTGAGACAATGAGATTTCGTCAGCATCTGAATTTACAGTGTCCAGGCCCTTGTCTTTCCCACCGTATTTTGCCGTTCGTCACGATTTGGAGCCTTCTGCACTTTGTACGTATGCAGTCCCTACCGGTCCTTGGCTCTCTGAACGAAAGACTTCGACAGATTCAACTTTTTGGCCGCATCCCTGACCGAAGCATTGGGATTCCGCTTAAACGCTTTGACGACACCCTTGTCATCCTGATCACTAATAGAGCATCCATGCTGACTGCATTCCTCCTGCCGTTCGATGCTCAGTGTTTCGTAGTAACGTTTAATCACACGACTCACCGTTGACTGCACGATTCCGAGTTGTTTTCCGATGTCCCGATGAGAAAGTTGAGGATTTTCCAGGTGCTTGCGCAAAATTACTCGTACCAAAATACCCAACAAGTAATTTTCTTCAGCGGTTTTTCCGTGATGCAATTTGATGAGGGACACCCTTTAATAGGGTTTAAATGGTGGGCAAGATAATTGAACCGAATCCGGATTCGAAATCTTGCTTTAATTTAGACTTAAGCTAGACACTCACCGCAAGTCTGTGATAAACCGTCACAGGCTGAATGGAAGCGATGCGTAGCGTTATTTCTTGTGTCGTTTAGTGAAGTCCCTCGATGGCTGTAATTGACCTTTCTGACGTTTATAACTCGCACACTTGCGTAATTCCATTTTCAAGTAAGAAGTTTGTTATCCTCCCTTTCGTTTCAGCCAAAAAATTTGGTTTGTTATAACAATATCAGCTTCAATCGACCAAATCGATGCGACGAAGAGACTGCAGGGCTTCTTTTTCTGTTAAAGCCGAACAGCTTCGCAGCATTCTACAACCTCAGTCGGCGCTAAGAAACAAATGTTCAATCACTTGTCTCTCTTTCTCTCGTCGCTCCATTGGTCTTTCTTTCATGCTTCAGTGAAACGGATGAACGAAAGAGCGCTCGACTTTGATAGTTTCGTCTTTCATGAAACACATCAACAGAGGCAAAGATATCTAATTAACAAGATATCGCACTAATCAATTCCTCATACAAGGCATATAATAACCCGTATGTGATAGCAGTGCCATCTGTTGAGTGCACATTGAAACTGTTGAGAGTTCCCCGCTAACTTCACCACCTGGACGAGAAAAGAGGACGATATCATCCTCGAAGTCATCATCATTATATTGCGATAGCAAGATTCTTACTTGTTTGTGATTGTTCCGATTTTCAATCATTACCACTTCATACGCAACAGAAACACTTGAGAAAACAATCACACATCCAAGCGCGCATCATGATGTGCTTGTAATATGTTTTGCTTTCGAGCGAAAGCGTTTTCAATATACCACCGGTATCAGTAAGATGCAAATCTCTAATAGTAATTGATGATTTGCGGAGCTGGTGCTCAAAAGAATCTTAATAAGCATAAAAGTAAACATGGGAAAAGCATTCACTCTCTCTAAAGAATTATTCCAACACCCCAGTCAATGGAAATGCAACGTATCAAAATCATTGCTAAACGTAATAAAATATGCCGTCTTCTTTGGCCAACGCAGCACGCATTCTATTCAAAAATTACATTGGAATAATCATTACTTTCCTATTTTAAAACGTAGGAAGTATTTGTCAACCCCGGTGAAAGCAAACGCAAACGGAAGTAGCCGAAGCTGAATGTAGACGATGAGTGATGACAGCGCTTCGTGTTTTGATTTGCGCTGTACCGTCCGCTCAGTTGTGTGGGTTCGTACATGTATAGATGTTGGTGTGTGTGTTTTCTTCCAACGCTGCAGTTCAACGTTGTCTCGTCACAAACCGTTTGGCGCTGTTATCTGTCTCTAAAAAATCCAAAGGGTGAAGGGGGTCTGACAGAGGTTTCATCATAGAGGTAACTGTAAGACCAGAAGGTCCCGAAAAAACATGTTCAACTTTTTGGCTCAGCTCTGGTACTCTCTTCGGTCCCAAGCTAATCGATTCACCCCTCGAAACATAGGAATATCCACTAACCCCTTATTTTATCTGTCAAACATTCATAGCTAATCAAAACAAACATTGTGTAGTAGTAGAATTTTGACTAGAATGGGATACGTTAATCTTTTGCTTGGGACCAATGGGCTAGTCAAGCAGTGAGCCAATTTAAAATCGTTAGTTTCGTATTGATTGTTGGTTTCATGGCGTATATGACGGAAAATGAAAATATATATTTAAAGCTTGAAGATTACCCGTAATATGTTTAATTTATCTTCCATCCGCATATTTATCTAAAAAAAAATTAACGAAAACGGGACATAACGAATTTCACGCTAATTGAAAGAGCGGTGGTAGAGTGTTCGTGAAAGGGATTGAAAGGCATAATGAGGTTTCGTTTAACTAGAAAATCGACGTTACTTACATTGAAAGCGAGGAGTAAAGCAACGACGAGAAGATCCACAGCCAGCCTTTTTCTAAGCGTGCTGCTTTTGACGTGGGACTACGTCTGTGATTTCTTTGTGGGGGTTCACTTTGTGAAAACCGAAAATGGAACATGTAACCAAATTATGAAAGATTTTGAACGTTAATAACTCAGCTGCCCCTGAACCAATTTCAACAATTTTATCACCAATCGGTCAGACGCATTTATTAAAATTAAGACTTTATCATTTTTAAAAATGTCATTATTGAAAATTGCACGAATGTGCAACTGTTGCTTTGATAGTTAAAATTATCACCGATTGCCTGCAAAAAGCGATTTTCCTAACACAGATTTCAAAGTTGAATTCCATCCGGTCTCACCAAACGGTGTTTATTCAATCACCGCGGAGTGGTGGTGTTCTCCAGTACACAACGAAAGGCTCCCCGCAAGCAGCTAGCTACCAAGGCTGGCCTCAACTGCTGATCGGGTTCAGTTCCAATCACCGTGAGTGGTGGTGTCCGTCGTTCGTCGGCATCAGCTGCATCAGCTGCAGTGGCGTTGAACATTGTTCTCCAGTACACAACCAAAGACTGCCTACAAGCAGTGAGTTGCAACCCACATGAGCATCCATAGAAGGAGGAAGAAGCCGCACCGCTATTGATCGGAATCAGTACCTCTTCGTGAGTCGATGTGGGCCATCTATGCCAAGCGCGTCACTCTCATTCCAAACAGCATACAGCTCACCAGCCTCATCTGTGTTTAACACTCTCAGTAACCCTGAGTAACAGCTCAGCATTACTCAACCTTCACGACAAAACGTTCCTTTTTAGGATCACCATAAATTTGTAAAAGAGTATTTTGTGGACATTTGTCAAGGACATCAATCGGATGTCAGTTCCCATATCAAGATAGAGCTGGAATTAGGGCTTAACAGCTTTTGTAAACAATGACTTCTTTCGATGATGTCTTGAAAGTCAAGGCTCGCCAAAGGCGGTCGCGGTATGAAAGTGGTCTGATTTTGACCCAGAGATGATGGATTTTAGTTCTTGATACGTCAATCGGTAGGAATTTTTTTCTACGAATCTGTTAAAATTAATTTTTCAAAATGTTACTATTGAAAATTGCACGAATGTGCAACTGTTGCTATGATAATTAAAATTATCACCAATTGCCTGCGAAAAGCATTTTCCCTAACACAGATTTCAAAGTTTAATTCCATCCGGTCTCACCAAACGATGTTTATTCAATCACCGCGTGGTGTTCTCCAGTACACAACGAAAGGCTGCCTGCAAGCAGCGAGCTGTAGCCCACATCCTTAGAAAGAAGAAAAAGCCGCACCGCTATTGATCGGAATCAGTAGCTCTTCGTGAGTCGCTGTGGGCCATCTATGTCAAGCCCGTCATACTAAAGAGCATAAACATAGAGAACCCCGCTCAAGTTCCTATTCCTACACAAAACACAAGCTCCTGCTCTGCCCTGTGCGGCATAACAGTCCCATTAGCATTTTTGGCGATTATGAGTTATACATTGGAATCGATTGTCAAGTACCATCACTTTACAATGTACACGAAAAAAATCCTACTTTGCTCAGAAAATGTCGCGAAAAATAACAAAACTATGTTGTCCCATCCATAAGAGCCCATGGAGAAAAAAATCTTCAACAGCGTTTTTCTCAGCTTGCTGTTTTAACGAATGGGACAACTATGCTGAAAAGGGCAGTGCTGCAGATAACAAATAAAATTTATTATATAAGACCACGACGTTTTTTATACTTGAAATGATCTTTATTTCTTGAATTTGTGTGGTTTACATGTAGCTAGTTGTCTCCTCTTCCTCTTAGATATTTACCAGCTCTGGCAGTGCCTTTACCGAATGCGCTAAGGGGGGCCCTTACTACTATTATACTTACTTACAACTCGCTCATCTGACAACGTTTGCCGAACTACTTCCAGATGCCGACGATCGTCCTCGGTCAGGACGAGGTGGATTGCTTCGCGGCGTGGGTCTCCGCCGAAGCCGGCCTTCCGGAGCACGCCGAATCCGGTACCGATCCGAAGGTCAACTACGGCAGCCTACTGCTGCAAGCGCTCCTGGAGTACTGGAAACCACCGCCTCCCCATCATCACCTGCAAGGTGGCCCGGACATGGAGAATGGCTGCGACGGAGACATCCGCGGCAACGAGTACTTTAGCGTCCCGAAACATACACCGATCATTTTCAGTGAAGTCGGCGGCCGGAATGTCTGCCGGCTGCTGGTGAAAGATGCCGTCGGCGAAACCGAAAGTGCACTGCTAAGCGAAACGGTCCCAACCTGGGTAACGAACGTAGTCATCGAACGGACCATTCCCAAGTTTATCAAACTTCCGTTCTACCTGTTGGCGCATCCGTCGATGTTGAAGCAGGACCGCAGTAAAAAGGTGAGTTGTTCTAGAGGGCTTGAACTCATACCAGATTCATCTTCAAAATTCGAAAAACGAGCGGTTCTTGAAAGGATCTTCTCTGTTTTCCGTTTGGTTGTCCCCACACAAATTGTTTCGTTTTGCTCCCACCAAAATCACCCCCCAATACCAACACCACCACCGCCACCGTATTGTTTTATCCCATTTACCGTAAAAGCCTGATTTAATCATCCAGGAACGCCTGATCGCCAACGAGTTCATCCAGTGCCGGAAGGTGTGCGAGCATGTGCTGGAGAAGGTGTTGGGTGCGGACCTCCCGGCCAGTACCGGTAACTCCAACTCGTCCCAGAACAACAGCCAAAGCGATGCCAACTCCGAGGGCAGCCAGGTTCCGGCCGAGGAACGGATCGAACTGCTTTGCAACGATGTGGTAAGTTTTTTTTTCATTTAAGGCAGATTGATCAGGATCAGTAGTCACTTTTACTCTGTATTCGTTTCTAGATTTGCGACCCCAACATGGACCTCCGGACGGTGCGGCATTTCATCTGGAAGCAATCGTCCGATCTCACGTTCCACTATCGAACGAAGTCAAACTAGATTCTAGAATAATGGTTGAGTGGTGTGAAATCGCGGTAGGAGCGATACCCGCTCGAGTCCCTTCTGATTTCCGCGGCTTGTTTCCTTTTCCTTTGCTAGGTACCTACTATAACATAATAGGAGAGTATTGTTTGGAGAGTGAGAGAATGCATGATAGAAAGAAGCCAGTAGACGAGCGTCTGTTAGATAGGATTTAGCAATGTTATCATAATTTTATTAAGTTATTTACGCACCCAAGGGTGCAAGTTTTAACGGCGTAGTATTCCTAACAGAGGTTCCGAGTAGTAGCAGCTCGCATTTATCAACTTTTTGTTTGTTCGATCTTCTTCTACTTCAGAGAGACTGCGCATCTATACGTGATCAACTTATTCCAGTGTACTATTTTAGGCGTATTTTTTCCCTTTAGTTTCTTCCCACCACGCAGTTAGTTTCTTTCCTAGATTCGCGGGAGTGCATGAGCTTGAGTTGAAGTGGTTATAAAACAAGGTCCATTCGAGGACGCGACGATTGATCATTGCCAATCTATTTAGGGAATCGTAGAATGAGGAAAAGGTAAGATCTTGGAAGCTTTCATTATAGTAATACAAAACTCATAGAAATTCGTAGGGCTTTGAGCTGAGGAGATTGAATTAAATTCTATACTAATTATTACAATTATGAACAGTAATAGCAAACAGGAAAATAAGAAAAGAAGTAGCATCTTATATGGTACGTCATGGCAAAGCAGAGGAAGCAAATGAATTACAACTGTTGCGAACGAAGCTTTCGGCTACGTGGCCCGAAGAGAGGTAATCTGGAGGAAAATTAAAAGAAAAAGTATATAGAATATATCCTCTGTCAATCAAATTAGCATATGACGGTTTTGGTTTATCTTGCAGAGGGAAGCATTAGGTTGAAACTGCTACTGAATGGAAATGAAAGAACGATGTCCCTGTGGTTTTTGGCTCGCCACGTTATATTCATTAAGGTAAGTAACTTCTTACATTGCTGGTAATTTGAGAACTGCGAGAACTACTATTTCTTCTGGGTTGTTTGGTCAAACATCTATGTTTTAAGTCATTCTCATAGCGGCAGACATTACATCGTAAAACATATGAATTTAAATGCTATCGCATAACTGTACACAATGAATGGCACAGAGGAGTATTTGGATCAAAAACATGGCCAAAATTATTGTAATGAATCTTGGAGTTTAAATCGGTGCATATTATCAAAATAACATATTATCATGACTTATCATGGTTACAGTACGTTCAGACTATGGCTGATATCATGTAATATAGACTATCTTGATATTAAAAGTCATACCTATGATTTCCGGTCAAAATTTGACGCATGAGTGCTCATTGCAAGACAGCCTATATTACATGATATCAGCCATAGTCGGAACGTATCGTATGCGTGATAATGTTTGCACCATTGAGCAATGTCAATACTAAAAAAATCCTCAAAAATTTCGTTTTCGAGTTTTTTTTTATTTATTCAAAGGGGGGATGTTTCTCAGAGTCTTAAACTATGTTAATCATCGATCGAGTTTCCACTTGCTGCAATTACGGCCTCCACATGCTTCCGGAATGCACGGCAGGTTCTAATAATGTAGTCTGGATCCATTTCTCTCCAGGTACGGGTCAATGTTTGGCTTCGGACCGTACTGTTCTTTGATCCACGGAAGAACATACTTACTTAAAATCCCGATGTAAACCTCCGTGTTGACCTTGTCGCCTTCTGGAATGAACACCGGGTCCATTTTTTGCCATCGGAAGTCACCAAGCCAAACACCAAAACACTAGCAGGATTTTTTTTTCCTTTATTATAGAGATTTTTAGCCATAGGCTAGTTCATCTCTTAAACACTAGCAGGATGCTTGGTCAGATACACGTTCTTGTGCTCGTCGGCCACGTCTTTTACCGGAAAAGAACTAATATACCGGTCGGTTCTGGAATTTGATACGGGATCGACGGTTAACATGCTCTCGTCGGTGAACAGGATTACCGGATTTTTTCGCTTAAGGAAGTTCAAGATTTTCTTGCATCGTTCGACTTGTAGCTCCCGGATGCGGTTGGTAATCATGTGAGTTTTTCCGTGCCCTCGACTTCGCCCCGCAATCTTCCGTGCCGTAAAGTCACTGATCCCGTGTTCCTTTACCATTTTCCTTATTGAATGCACTGGATTCACCAGAATCTTCCTTTTGATAGCAGCGATAACCCTCGGAACCCCAACTGACCTCGGACGACCTGTGGCCACCTTCATGGATAGTTGTCCTTTCTTTTCTCGGTCTAAAACCCTTTTGACGGTCCACCGGGACACTCCCACGGCGATTGAAATGTCTTTTTGCGACATTTGCGCGTGGGACAAATCACGAATACGCTGCCACTTCGTCATGGTGCAACTGTCAAACTAAGTAAATCATTTTCTTTTATACACAGCCTACTACGGTATGAGCTATACACTCAAAAATAATACAATTCATTATTAGATTAAAACATAAACATTTTTCAAATTCACCGGTTGTATACGCTCCATAAATTAAATTTTCACACTATCATAGCTTAAACTTTATACCAAGTGTGAATAGCAGTCAAAAAGCCTTCCCAAAGTATTCATGTCTAGGGTGACCTAGATCACCTAGATTAGTCGTGCTGCAAGCGGTAGGTGGGTAGGTGGCGCGTTTTGTTTTTTGTTTTTACTGTGGTCCAAGCTGGCGGTCATTAGTGCATATTATGAAAATTGTGTCGATTAGACTGGAACTGGTGGAAAATGTTCTGACCATTATGTGGAATCCGTTGATTGAGTTTCATGGTGTTTCACAAAAAGTGGCGCATTCGGGTGCACTACCACTGTCTGGTAGGTTTGCTAACATTTGTTTGGTTGTGAATGGATTAGCTAATGGGAAATTTATTTCAGCTGCTGACGTCGAATTTGGTCCATCATGGAGAAGACGAAGAGGGAATCTTCGGATTCATGGAGGAGGACATCAGGAATGAGGTAGCTCGTACCCGAGGACAAAAGTGCTACATCTGCAAGGAGCGGTATGCTAACGTTTCTTGCTGCGTAGAGCAGCGCTTCTGTACATTTCATACGCTCTGTGGGATGCAGAAAAGGTGTCTGTTGCATACGTGCGATCCATGGATACGTTCCAGTCGTGGTGCGATAAGCACGTAGCGCTGGTGAATAAGGTGAAATACTCTGAGACCGAGGCCGGTGGGATTTGCAACGATGAGATGGGACCGTACAGGAAGCTGGAATCGAATCGTGCCCCGTGCTGTCAGAATGGCTGGCTGGTTCCATCGGAGCTGCGTGGCACAGTTTGCCCAATCGGCGGGGTAATTGCTCAAGTGCCCTTTGTGCAGCAACAAGGACAACTTTAGCCAGGAGATGCAGCAGCGTATGATTTATATACCGGAAAAGTAAGTGAGGCGGAGGTGGGTGAATCGGTATTGAAATACTGAATATTTTTCATTTGTTCTAGGGATGCCTCGTTGGAGCTGGTAACTGGTCAAGAAGATTTGACTGCCACGAGGGACTTCCGTCGAAAAGTTGCTTCGAGCCATACCGGTCGTAAGACTCGAGAAGCTCAGCTCGGAAAAGATCAAATCGTTGACTTCTCCGAAGAATGAAGTATCCTCCGCCGGATCATCGACCGTGTTCGATTTCAACTATCGTGTGAAGTTGAACAAAAAGCAGCTTCGAAAATCGATGGTAGAATTGCAGTCCATCAAAGAGGTCATCCGTTCCGACACGGATATTCTAACGGATGTCTCGGCGGAACAGGAGATCGTACGTACCAAAACGCCTGCCCAGAAATCCTTTGCCAAGCAGATCAAACTAAAGCTTCTCGGGTCCAAATCCGAACCAAGAAAACGGTCGACCAGAGAGTCTGATCCGGAGCACGATTGCACAAGATTTGATTGCTTCACCGAGGTTTTCACTTTTCTAAGACAATAAATTATATATTATATGAATTTATTGCTTTTCAATCAATAAAAATACCAACATTAAAATGACAGTGATCAAATACATTGTATAGATAATCCACCGGTAAACTACGCATATTCAAAAGATAAACTATACCCCTTACTTCAAGTTTATACTAGGTTTTGTTGGCAACTAAACGAAGCCTGGGGTCAACCAGGCGAATAGCGTTTTAGTGTGATTTTTATACTAATTAGTTTAATTTTTTTTCTGAGTGTAGGTTACGTGCATGCAAATAAAACCAAGGCATTGTATGCACAGGTGAAACGGGAACCTTATTTGTACGATGGTGCAAACATTATCACGCATACGGTACTATCAACAATCAATATGAAACTAACGATTTTAAATTGGCTCACTACTTGACTAGCCTATTATTGGTCCCAAGCAAAAGATTACGTACCCCATTCTAGTCGAAATTCTAGTACTACGCAATGTTTGTTTTGATTCGCTATGAAAGTTTGACAGATAAAATGAGGGGTTATTGGTTTTTCCTATGTTTCGAGGGGTGAATCGATTAGCTTGGGACCGAAGATAGTACCAGAGCTGAGCCAAAAAGTTGAGCACGTTATTTCGGGAGCTTCTAGTCTTAGAGTTACCTCTATGGTACTATTGTCGCTAGACTTGAAAACCGAAATGACCAACTCGCGACAATCGATTTGACTCTTGTTGTGTACGTTAAAGATAACGTCGCATCTAGTGCGAACTATAGCGCATCATTTGACGAATACAGCGCACTAGATGCGACGTTATGTTTAACGTACATAACGAGAGTAAATCGATTGTCGCGAGTTGGTCATACCGGTTTTCAAGTCTAGCGACAATATTGGTGAAAGGATATTGCCATTGCAGAAGTGTGGTTTACATCTCACTGCAGTCTGAAACCGGAGGATGATGAATAAGACTTCTGTAGTTTGTTTTGTATGAGTTGCAGCATTATTTGAATTAAGGGTACTAATGGGGTCTGATTAACTGCCTCTTTCTCTTGAGCCCACTCTAGAACCTACATAGTATTTAGATCTATAAGTGAACCGGGAAGTGAACTGCTGGTCTGAGTTCCTCTGGTATATTCAATTGGAGGATGCTCCAGAATATACGGTCAAACAGCACGTAATGTTGTGAACAACTTCAATGACAGTTGTCCAGCAGTGCTCCCATTTTATTTACAACAATCCAATGCCTACGAGATTGTGCTGAAGGTTGGTCGATGGATGTACCCAATCTGTGCCAAATCTAATTTCGGCACAATGCTAAGTGACTTACCCCTTCGCATACTATCAAGAGAACTCGAAATAGCGAAATAGCAATCATTCTTTTGATATTTAAACGGTTTTGGAAAGCAAAAAGTCAGAGCTTTTGAAATATATGCACACATTTATGATGATTTTTACTGAAATTCTTCGATATTCTTTTAACCAAATTTGATTTTTAAACAAAATAATATCGCATTTTTCTAACTTCAGACGCCATTAAGGCGGCTAAAACATCATCCTCCCCCCTCACCATGATACCACAAAAAATATAAAAATCGATGGCGGGGTGTTTTGAGAAAATCAACGTTTTATGGTTTTACTATGAATTTTCTAAGTTTTTTCTTTTAGTGGATTGTTTTCTCAAAGAACATTCAATTACCGACGAACCGACGTGCCAGCTCATAGAAGCTGCATTTAAATGCTTGCCCAAGACGCCATACTTAAAATACGTTAAACACTACCACCATAGAGGTAACTCTAAGACCAGAAGGTCCCGAAGAAACGAGTTAAACTTTTTGGCTCAGCTCTGGTACTATCTGCGGTCCCAAGCTAATCAATGCACCCCTCGAAACATATGAAAATCCACGAACCCCTCAAACGGTCTACACTGGTTGACGACAA